TGGATATTGCGCCAGTGTAAACAAGGTTAAAACCTTCGCCTTAAGAGTGGATATCTCGCGGTTATCTAACAGGTCCGCAAAAGCCGCGTTCCAGCGTTCCTCGAAGAACTGTACACGAGCGCCTGGGTTATCGCATTCGCGGAATATAGCGAGTATCGAAGCAGGAATTGCTAACTTTCTGTTCTTGTGCTCAGCTAGAAATGCCTCTAAAGTGTCGCTTGCTTTGCGTAAGTTCGGCAGAATTTTGGTCATTATAACATTGCGAAGATGCTGAATGATGTCGTTGATAATCCTAATGCGCATTCGGACAGCGAACGCTCGATTGGTGTTCACCTGCTGCAAGTCCGGCTTTTTCATGAAGATAAGAGCTTTGCCTGTTGATACGCTTTATTGTAGTAGGAAGAAGTATTTCCCTTCACCCTCGTAGCAGGCAAGCGAGGACCCGCTTTTCTTCGTTTCTCATTCCTCATCAGTAGACTGCAGCGCAGCTGCCTAATCGTATTCGTACATTAAGGTTGCTAACGCGCTCTGTGCAGGAACTGTCTAGGTCTACTGCTATAACACTCTCTACTAGCAATTACCCTTTAGCAGGTATAAAAGAGTAAGCTGTGCCTATACAAAATGCATGTGACATATACACTAAGGATTTCTTTACATTCGGGCAACAAGTTTTCCCTTCAACAACCACAATGTTGACAGTATGGCGTCAGTTATAGTATCGGTGCCACCGGAACTGTACGTGGAGATCCCGCCTACAGTGCTGTATGCTGAGCTCTTCAGCCAACGCGATCAAGGTAAGGACAACCAGCACTAATGTGCGTCTTCGAGTACTGACTGAGCATTACTCGCAGCGATCCCCGGCACGCCCGCGAGTACCTTCAACGTGGAAGACCCTGTTTGGCCTACTGACAAGGCCACCGCTACGATAAGGGCTCGAGTATTATTCGCCTATTTCGGTGTGGTGCCGCTTGACATGCAGTATACCGTCGTTGGCGTTGGCCAAAACCCTGAGGCTGTGAAGCTTGCAAATCAATTGTTTAAGAAGGTCCGGGAGAATATTCAAACCGAGAGATACGGGCGCGGCTCGTTTTTCCAAGAGTTTGTGAAGGGAAAGGTCAGCACGCTCGACTTTCGAACACTTGTTACCAACTGGACTCTCGACGCGCGCATTTGTGAGATCGTAGTTGCAGGCGAGACACCGGCTGCCGTACCGATCCGCGATGCTAACCGTACGGTCTATGAGACTGCATTGACCGAGCTCCTACAACTCTGGAGGGACACATATGAACAGGCGTTCCAGTCGGCTTCAGCAAACGTTGGTGTTACCAGGAGACTCAAGAAGAAGCGGTATGAGCGCGCTCGTGGCTTGTACCGCATCATAAAGGATAATCTACCCGCCCCATCGCCAAACATTGGCCAGCTGAGCGCACATGAGTGCGAGCAAGCTAAGGGAGTTCCGTTCGCCTTCCGCGCAAAGCAAGATCGTCTAGCAGGTCGTCCGTCCAACCCATCACACAGATCTCATAAGATTGTTGATAATTCTTTACATTCATTTAGATCCTCATGATTACTTGAGCTATACATAGTACCTATGAGATCCTTCGCTAAAAAACCAGCATAGCGCTTAACCGAACAGAACATCGCCAAGACGAATAGACACGGTCTTGGTCTGGATGTAGTTGTCCAGCGCCGCCTCTCCCAATTCGCGCCCAATACCAGACTGTGCAAAGTCAGTGTATGTCTCATGCATTTCATATAGGGAGCTCTTACCTCCTTGTACCCCCCGAAGGGAAGTTGCCAGTGAAGAGTGTTGTAGGAGTTGACCCAGACAGTTCCTGCACGGAGCGCGTTGGCAACCTCAATGGCAGTGGTGAGGTTGGATGTGTGTACAGCGGCAGCAAGACCGTATGTGGTGTTGTTACCAATCTTGATGACATCGGCCTTTGTCTTGAACTTGGAGATTGTGCAGACGGGGCCGAAGATCTCTTCTTGCTGAATCTTCATATCCTCGGTTACGTTGGAGAAGATTGTGGGCTCGATGAAGTAACCCTTGTCGCCCTTACGGTTGCCACCAGTCTCGACGGTCGCGCCAGACTTCTTGCCCTCCTCGATGTAGCTGGATTAGAAGTTAGCAATGATATTTTAGACGGAGGTGGTGATGCTTACCCCATGATACGGTCGAACTGGAGCTGCGAGACTTGAGGACCCTGGAAGGTGTCCGCGGCGAATGGGTCACCGACAGCGTTCTGAGCAGCCCGCTCCTTGAAGCGCTGGATGAACTTGTCGTAGATCTCTTCTTGGACGTAGATACGTGAACCAGCACAGCAAGCCTGTCCGTGGTTGAAGTAAATACCAAAGTTGACCCAGTGGATAGCCTCGTCAAGATCTGCGTCGGCGAAGACAATGTTGGGGCTCTTGCCTCCGAGCTCGAGAGTGACCTTCTTCAAGTTGGAGCCAGCGGCAGACTTCATGATTTGACGGCCGACAACGGTTGAACCAGTGAAGGCAATCTTGTCAATGTCCATGTGAGCGGACATGGCAGCACCGGCGATCTTTCCGAAACCAGTGATGACGTTGATGACACCTGGTGGGAAACCGGCCTCCTGAATCAGTTTGCAAGCAATGTATGCGGAGAGAGGTGTCTGTTCAGCAGTCTTCAGGACGACGGTGTTACCAGTGGCGATGGCAGGACCAATCTTCCATGACCACATGAGAATAGGGAAGTTCCATGGGATGATTTGACCGCAAACACCAATCTGAGAGCGTTAGATATAAGACTTGAATATTGAGAGAGAATTCACTAACAGGCTCCTTGCGGATGTAGTTGAAGCTGTCGGGTGCTGTGTCGACGACCTTGCCCTCAATCTTGTCGGCCCATCCTCCGTAGTACCTCAGGCAACCAGCAGCGGCGGGAACATCGACGTTCTTGGCCATGCTGAAGGCCTTGCCGTTGTCGAGAGCCTCGACGGCAGCAATGAGGTCGGCATTCTTCTCGAACAGATCGGCAAGCTTGTTAAGCAGCTTTCCCCTGTTCTCTGGTGTCTCCTTTCGCCATGGGCCGTTGAAGGCTTTGCGGGCGGCAGCAACAGCGATGTCAACATCCTTCTCGGTGGCCTCCTGAACACTGCAGATGACCTCCTCAGTGGAGGGGTTGATAACATCAAAGGTCTTGCCGTCAACGGCCTTTACGAACTCATTGTTGATGAAGCTGGTCGAGCTGTTAGTGCTGGCACGTGTGACAGGCAATACCGAAGCATTGCACTACCTCCGAAGGCTATCGGAGGCCATTGGGGGCCTGATATTCAACTTACAGTCCGGTGGGCTGCTCGAACTCGCCCGTCTGGGGGGTTGTGAGCTTTACAGATGTCATAGCTGTGAAAACAAATTGGGGTATATGAAGAAAACAGAGAGGTGAAGTGTGTGAGGGGTAGAGGCATAGGCAAAACTTAAGTACTTTCAGGAGCTCCGCATGACGACACTAGGGAGTATCTCCACTTGACAAAGGGACAGCAGCACGATCGCCCAGACAGCCTCGGCCATCAGGAGCCCGTCTCGAGAATGCTCTGTAGCCTATTGCGTGTCTGGTAGATGCATGGCCGGGTGGCGCTTGACGCAACGGCGGAAGCTCCTGCCCCGCTCTTGCAACCAGTGGTAAGCTACCCCTCCCCCGCAGTTCTCCTCTGAGAGTTTCTGAAGCCGCACCTAACCTTGCTACACGCGGTACTCGATCCTCCAATTTGGAATAGACACCTATTGGCAGCTCATGCGCATCCGCAAAAAGCTCGCGGATCTCCACCTACGTCGCGTGGCCGTCTCTATACAGCGTGTTTTCAGCTGCATAACTCATGTACTAACCTCGGAGCTCTAGACACGTACCAAGTCAAACATACCCACCATCGGAGCCACAGCGCTAAATCCGAAGTGGCAGCCCTATAACCCATATCGTCGCACCCCGAGCAAGCTCGGCCCGTTTTAAAGCGAGCACCCGTGTGTCAACGGTCACCTCTAATCCATTCACCGAGCTAGAATATCTGCTCTATGTCTGTCGGCAATGTGTTTAGTATTCAGAAGTTCCAGCTCTTCCGATGCGTAAGCAGTGTCGGATGAATGCTCCTTTCACCCAGCCATATCCTAGTCGGAGGCTAAGATAGCCGCGGGCCTCCACCCTACCTAGTGGGTCGCGGGGAAAGTGCGACAAAATTTGAACTAATAATATTTGGCGTGATACTTTCGCACGAAAGGGTACTGCGGCGCGAATAGGAGCGCTTCACGGGCGAAGACGTTGTAAACCGGAAGGCAATACAGCACACATGAACAGATGATGGTGTGATGTGCGTGCCTGGAACGACCCGACATGTCAGCCACGAGTGTGATTCATATCCTGTGTTGTTGAGGAGTCGTCCAGACGTGAGAGCACGGAGCAATTCCGCTGTACATGGCCGACTTTTCCAGCAAGCATTCCTAAGCTCTCGCAGATCTACTATAAGATCTTCTCTTTCAAGCATGTCAATGCTCACCTTGCGTCCACGTGGGATTGATTGATGCCACGTCTCGACTGCAAACTGGGTGGGTACAACTGCTTATCAGTTCGGCATATGTGCCGATCATCGGCATCAGATTCGTGTCCCATTCGTCCTGAAACTCATCGTAGCCGTGAACATGCAAACAGAGTCAAGCGCGGTTCTGATGAAGAGATTTCACAGGGGGATGTTAACAGGGGGAGAAGTCTTGATCATGTTCTCGAAGCCATAGCCATTCTTGATTGAAGCTAACTCGAAGCTCACGTCGCAATTTAGGAGCCGTACATGAACGTCCATGAGTAATGTACAAAAGTCAAATCGTGTCCAGTGCTGACCAGCTGTTTCCGAAAAGATGACGCCTCCAAGAAAAGAAAGATTGAAAGCAGACCGACTGGCAAAAAAAGCCGTACCGATTTCGTTGATGCTCGATTAAACCATGAAAACTGAAGTGAATGGAGGACGTCTCAAAGCGGATGGAGCTCAGAGCATCTCATCATCCATGGCAGTGTCACCGCCGGCGGTGATCTGAGCAACTTCAGCAGTACCAGCGGCAGCATTGGTCTCGCCACCAGGGAAGTAGTCGGCCATCTCAGCATCGAGCTCCTCAACAGTCTTCTTCTTGGGACGGGCCTCGCGACCTCCACGGCCCTTGCCCTTGCCACGAGTTTGACCACGTCCGCGTGTGGCACCGGGAGCTGCCTTCTCGGCGGTGGCGGGCTTTGGCTTGTCCTTCTTTGGTTGGCTGTAACCTGGTTAGTTGCTGATACCAAGACACTAGGATGATAATACGTACGTTACACGGTCGGCAAGCGAAGCCGGGCGGGTAGTGGCAGGGATAGCGGCAGCGCTGACGAGCATCTCGACGCGGACAGGGCGTCCATCGATCTTGACGCCATCAAGAGCGGCTGTGGCCTTGGCGGCTTGGTCGTGCTTGTTGAAGATGATGGTAGCGCTACCCACGCTGCGACCCTGGGCATCGTACTGGAGAAGAACCTTCTTGGGGCGACCTACACCAACAGCTGAAACAAAGTAGTCCTATAAGGCGTATTAGTCGTCGTACCAGGGGTTAAACATTTGCGCAAATGGATCATCATTGACAAGGACGTTTGACAAGGAGGTTCCGGCGTCGGCGGTGGGTATTCGTCGATTCCATATTACACGGTCAAAAGATAACGCTCGGAAAGCGGGTGTCCTGGTCAAAATACAGTGAACACAAGGTTCAGTGAGACGAAGCATACTCAGAGCGAGAGCAGTTGTTGCGAGTAACGTGTTGTAACGCTGCGAACCAGTCTTGTGATATCCGCCCACCCATGTGAAAGCCATACGGCTATTCGTAACTGGATCTGGATTCGCGTCTCGCTGCTCTTTTGATCGCCTGGAGTTGCTGCAGGGCTACCAGGAATATGTCACTGGTGCGATGCCGTCTTTGCTTGCACTTGATAAGTGTAGCATGTGACCAGGATCACCCACTTTCGTCGCTGCGGTACCCTGGAGTGTTCGCATGCTGCTAGTCTTCTACCGGTCTTGTGTGCCCAACACAGATCTCGGCGTGACTTTGGGCAAGCTATGGCTCAACATCCATACCGGTTGTGGAGTGGAAAGGCTCGGTTCGTCGGATCGAAATCGTTCATGCTTGCAAAAGCGAAGCTGCAGTAGGTTCAAAGACCTGCATCGGTCTTACATACCTGGAGTTGGGCATTGTCAATGTCCCGTGGCTGCGATATGTTAGTTGTGTTCGTGCGCGAGTGCTGTGTTTGGCTTACCAAGTTGGATACCATGATCTTGGTCTCACCGCCGAGGGAGGCGGCGGGTGCGGTGGGGGCGGCCTTGGGCTGCCTGCCCTGCTGCTTGGTCGACTTGGAAACACCGCCTACAGGTGCGGCAGTGGTGGCAGGTCGTCCAGTGCCGGTAGACTTGCGACCGCTGCGGCCACGGCGAGAGGTCTTGGAGGCCTTGAGGATGTCGTCGAGGCTCTGCTCCATCTTGTTTGAAGACATGTTGATGAGTGGTTGAGGGATGGTGATACTTGGTTGAGCGGGCGTTGATGAATTTGCGCGCTGGTGTCGAGAGGGCGACGTGAGCAGATAAAGTAGCGACGGCTAAAAGTCTCTTTGATGGAGGAGCGACTGAACCGGTGCAAGGCTGCGAGGACAAAGGGGCGCGTTTGATGACAAGGCGCGTCGCAGAGGTGAGACTCGCAGAATGGGGAGTCAAAGTGGGCTTGCGCGAAAGTAGAGAGTGTAGCGCTGGTGGTGGTAACTGCTGCTGATGAAGGGCAGATGGGTGGAGTATTATATGAAGAGGAGTGTGATGGTAAGATGAGGAAAAGGGAGAGCGCGAGGCAGCAGGACAAGAGAGGATCGCGCCAAGCCCTGACACTGCCACGCATGCTTGGTGAGTGCTGATTGGCAAGGGTGCACGGTCGCACTTGCCCGCAGCTTCCATGGGTGTCGCGAGTGACGATAGCTCCTGCCATTCAGGCAACGGGCGACGATGGAGCGATAGCAAGTATGGCAGTCACTCCGGTGAGTATTGGCTCATTCACCCTCCGCTTCACGCCATGGCGAGACTAATGCGCGAACAGTGGCAGTTCAAGTTCTTTGACGTCTCGCAAGTCAAGCTCCCCGACGACGAGAGCTCCTTCCTGTCTGAGGTATGACGATGCCCTCCACACACACCTATACCTAGCCACCCAGTCTTATAAACATCAACAGATCGGGAATATCACGTGCATTACATCTGGATCTGAAAGCATATTTCTGGGCAGCGCAGATGGCATTGTTCGCATCGTGTCGCAAGCCTTCAAGGTTGTGCGCTCGTTCAAGGCCCATGATGCAGGCGCAATTACGCACATGAAGCAGGTCGAGGGCACTTCTCTTCTCGTCACCATAGCCGAAGATCTCTCTGGAGAGCCGGTGCTGAAAGTATGGGCTCTGGACAAGCTGGAGAAGAAGACAGGCATCCCGCGGTGTCAGAGCACCCTCACCGTCCACAATGGGCGCAAGCAGTTCCCCATATCCGCTTTCGCCGCACTCGACGACCTTTCGCAACTTGCCGTCGGATTCGCAAACGGTGCCGTCACTGTTGTCCGAGGCGACCTCATACATGATCGCGGCGCTCGGCAACGGACGGTATTCGAATCGGAGGAACCCATCACTGGCATAGAATTCAGAGAAGGGAGCATCACAACCTTGTACATCGCGACAACCGGACGGATTATGACACTAGTGATATCTGGAAGGGGTCAAGGACAGCCTGCAAAGTCTCTTGATGAGTATGGCTGTGGTGTGGGTTGCATGGCTGTGGATAAGGCATCGCGCGATGTTGTGGTCGCGCGAAGTGATGCCATATACTACTATGGCCAACACGGTCGCGGGCCGCCGTACACATACGAGGGCGAGAAGAAGATGATCTCCGTATTCAAGGATTACGTTGCGATAGTCGCGCCCCCTAAATCGAATGCGATGCCCCGGTCGAACCCTCTCCGTACCTTTGGCATCGGTGCCGCTGACGATGTTTTCAATACATCGAGCTTCACCCTGCTTAACACAGAGTTGAGGTTTGTCGCACATCAAGAGCAACTGACTTCGCAAGTGAAGGCTGTTATCTCCGAATGGGGTGACCTGTTCGTCTTCACACTTGACGGTAAAATCTTCAGATACCATGAGAAGCCCTTTGCCCAAAAACTGGACATACTGTACCAGCGTAATCTATATGTCTTGGCCATCAATCTGGCTCAGAAGGCCGGACTAGATTCGTCACAACAAAACATCATCCTCCGGAAGTTTGGCGACTACCTGTATTCCAAACAAGATTATGATACTGCTATGCAGCAATACCTGAAGGCTATCGACAACACCGAACCATCTCAGGTCATCCGGAAGGTATGTTATGGTTGATCCGCAACAAGATTCATGTTAATGTCTCGTCCAGTTTCTTGATACGCAACGGATTCACAACTTGATAGAGTATCTTGAGGAACTCCACGATCATCATAAAGCAACATCAGACCACACAACTCTCCTACTGAACTGTTACGCCAAGCTAAAGGATGTAGAGAAGCTGGAAGAGTTCATCAAGTCACCAGACGATCTGAAGTTTGACCTTGATACCGCTATCTTGATGTGTCGCCAGGGGGGCTACTACGACCAAGCGGCGTTCCTTGCTCGAAAACACGGTGAACACGAGCTGGTCGTGGATGTACTCATTGAAGATTCAAAACGGTACGCGGAAGCCCTAGCCTACGTATGGCGATTGGAGTCGGAGGTAGCCTACTTCAACCTCATGAAATACGCGACGATACTGTTGCAGCACATCCCCAAGGACACAACGCAGCTTTTCATCGACTATTACACCGGAAACTTCCGACCCAAGAAGGATGCTATAGTCATACCGAACGCGCCTGCATCCGGAGGAGGCGGTGGTATGAGTATGGGCCTAGGAGTTGCATCGAGCGCTGTGCAAAACCTCGCTGCACTACTTCCTCTGCCATACATGAACACCAACGCGTTGGCATCGCCTCCCAGTGGTGAACAGAAGAGCACCATGAGCCAAGCTCAGATCATCGAAACGACTACCGATGAGCCCGCGCCAGAATACAAGGTACCGAAACCGCGAACTGCATTCTCCGCATTTGTCGATCATCCGCAGGAGTTTATAGTCTTCCTCGAGGCGTGTATCGCATCCAATGACCTACGTGAAGACGACAAAGTCGATCTTTACACAACGTTGTTTGAGATGTACCTCCACACTGCATCGTCGAAGAAGGATGGTGAGCGACAAGAGTGGGAGAACAAAGCCAAGAAGCTCGTCGAAGGCAAGGACATACCAATAGATACATCCAACGTCCTGCTATTATCTCATCTTTCCAACTTCCGCGATGGCGCCATCCTCGTCCGCGAACAACAAGGACTACACTTTGACATATTCCGATCCTACACTGCCGCAAACGACACCCAAGGTGCTATCCGCGCTCTCCGCAAATACGGCCCAGAGGAACCAGCACTTTACCCTGCAGCTCTCGCCTACTTCACTTCCACCCCTGAGATCCTTGCGGAAGCTGGCGACGAACTCGATGCAGTCCTCAAGAAGATCGACGAAGACGGTCTCATGGCTCCCCTCCAGGTAATCCAGACCCTCTCCACCAACGGCGTCGCAACAATGGGCATGATAAAAGCCTACCTCAGCACCACCATCGAGCGCGAGCGCGCAGAAATCGCCGCCAACCGCCGTAATATCGAAACCTTCCGCTCCGACACCACTGCCAAAAAGCACGAGCTCGAGAACCTGAACACCAAGCCTGCCGTGTTCCAAAACTCGCGCTGTCAGGTCTGCATGAAGAGTCTGGAGTTACCTGTTGTGCACTTTCTGTGTAAGCATAGCTATCATCAGAGTTGTCTGAGTACCGATGAGGATGTGCATGATGCGGAGGTCGAGTGTCCAATCTGTAGCTCGAACAACGCGACGGTCAAGGCCATTCGTAGGGCGCAGGTTGAGAGCGCGGAGAGGCACGATCTTTTCCAGGATGCGCTCAAGAGAGGCAAGGACGGTTTTGCGGTCATTAGTGAGTGGTTTGGTAGAGGTGTTATGGGTGTGGGTGGTTCGGACTAGGCGACTTGCAACTATAGCGAACGATGGTTATACATGAGACGGATGGAAGATATGGTAATTCACTTGATGAAGTCGTAAAGATCATGCTTTGTTTCCTCTTAAGATCCTCCTATCCACTGGCGCCTTGGGCATTCCTGGAGACACCTCACGAGTTATCAATTCCCCTGTAACTCTCCAGCAGTACTCGAGTGGCTTATACAAGCAACAGCAAGGTAACGTTCGATCCTAGGAAGCACGGGAGTTACAAGCTGTTGAACAATCTTTGTAAGTAACAGCTTATTAGCTAGTGTCTGAAGGTAACAAATATTCTGCTAGAATAGTACATTGGTCTTTACACTACTCTAATCCTAAGAATGACCAGCTCTCTGGCTGTAAATTGAATGGCCAGTCCTCGAGTAGCTCAGATGGGAGCTGGAACTCGCCCATCCAACCGTGTAGGAACTCGCCTTCAGCCACCCTACCTCCTTCTTCTACTTCCGTTGATTGCGCGCCACCTTCGTGGCTACCAGCTCGACCTGTATCTATGCCCGAATTTCTGTCCAAATCCGGTTGCTGCTGCTGAACTAGGGAGTCCACAGACGAACCATGGTTTGATTGCAGCGGTGTGTAAGATCTCCCCACTGGCCAGCACTGAGCACGCATATACTCGTCTATACGCTCTACCTGTGCACGCAAGCCCTTACTAATGTCAGTCGCACGAGACAATCCGCTTTCGAGGCTCTCGAGCAAATCTGCAATAGACAGCAACATGCTCCTGACCCTATGATATGCAGCCTCAGAGAGCGGGGCTTCCATGACGGAGCCGAGGATTGTGCCTATGCCTGCGAGGTGATAGATGAGAGGAGTACTAATTCCGCGAAGGTAAGCGGTGGGAATAGTCTGGAAAACAGCAAGGAGCTCCGCCGCAACATTGCATTTGAGCTGCACGTCCGGGGGTTGCCGACGGTCATCGTCAATGCTTAGAAAGAGCATACGTAACAACAACAATGTCGCCTGAATGTTCGCGGCCTGGAAGCCAAAGATGTCGCGAAGACGATTTCCTGTAGGTGGTGCAAATATCTTGAAGTTGGACGGCAGGTCGTGGTAACGCTCGGTTATAGACGTCAGCACGGCGGTGGAGGAATGGGAGGACAGCAACGTAGGTAAACCGAAAATGGTGGCGACGTCAATGCGATTGTCGATGAGGGCGGCGGGTTTGCGTAGCTGACTGTAGGCATGCTCCAGCGTGAGATAAAGGTCGGTCGTAAAATTCCAGCCGCGCAGCCACGAGATGGTGGGTTTTGGGGATGGCAACGTGCCGAGGGGTGTGATGAGTTCGTCTTCGACTTCTGTCGGGTAGTGAACTCGAGCGTTAGCCCCGTAAGCGTGGACGCTGCCGTTCCACACG